AGCGCAACTATTGGTTTCCAGATCTATTGTATTATCCTCTCTAAGCATTACCCTGATTACTTTAAGTCTACGGTTTTACAGTATTGATCCTAAAATCAACTAGCTGATTAGTTAGCAATTGTCTATGACGAGACGTTATAGGCAGATTTCTGGTATCTTTAAACGCTGTTCTTGTTTATGGTCACCTTGATTCAATAAAAATAGAATGATTGGTTTAACCCAAGACCTCGACCGTGAGCATTAACAACGCGCTTTCCTTCTTTTATAATAATTATTACTGCTCAAACTACTACCAATCATAATAATAATAATAATGTCGACTAACACGTACTAGTAGAAACTTTTTAAAAATATTAGGCTAGTATAAGCATATCCGGCGGACCCTTAATTAACCCGGACCCCCTTTTAATTAACCGCTGCCAGTTTATGAAATTTGATTGGTAAATAGTCCAATATTTCAGTGAAAACGGGTTAAGTTTAGTACAGAAAAAAGAAGTTCTAAAAGCAGGACATTTTTTATTTCAATAATCAACAGTCAGTGGTTAAGTTTTTGTTCCTCGAAAGCGAGAGCAATTCACCGAACATCGGTAGAAACACCAAACAAGGAGGCCTTTAGTGAAAACGCAGTACATCAGTGGTGCAAACGTTTCAAAAACAGAAGCTAGATGCTTGAAGCGCAGTGAGGAAATGATCAGATATTGGGACTTGCAAGACAGCCAAAATCGATGAGGGTTTTCACGAAAGCAGAGCTTAGAATTTAAGGACCGTGTTTACCGAAACTAACCCGAATACGATAACTGAGTAAAGAATGAGTCCCTTGTAAATAAACTTGTGTAGCGTATTTCATGGGCAATTTGCGGAACTTTAGTCAACAAAAAACCCGCCTGGAGCGTACGGTCGCCGTGTACAAAGCATGATTCAATGATCACCGCCGGCCCGAGAGGTACCAGGCAAGAGAATGGTGCCGCCCTGGAATGAGATCAAATTCAGTGACATTATTGAGTAGGTTCGGGTGTAACGTGATAGTAGTATCTGCAATGGGCATCAGGGCGTGTTCTACTATGAGGTACTCGCCCAAAAATGAAACAATAAATGTAGCCCGTCAACTCGAAGTTACCAGAACGTTCAGCTATTATTGGTACGCAAATCAAAAGCACACAATCGGTTCATTTGATTAGGATGTCAGACCTCATCACTATGACTCAGTCACTCGCTGGATTGAGCAAAGGAATTCCAACATTAGCTTCAACGCGTTTACGCTTTCGATATAAGTCCGTGTGACTACAAGGTTTTTCATGTCCTAAAAAAACAAACTGGTGGGCAAGCATATCCTACTATCGATCTACTTTGAGAAGCCACAGATAGAGAAATTACAGATGGGAACGCGAATGATGCGTATGTGATTGTCCAGAGCGCTGGACAAATGTTTAAAAAATTAAGGCGTGAACCTTAACACATATTAAAGAACCATCATCTAGCCCAAGTCGTCCAAAGTTTAGTTTATTTCAAGTCTGCTTGTAAAAGCCTAATAACCTGAACACGAACATTAATGACTGGCGTTCTAACCACCCTACAGTCACACACACATGTACCATACATCTCTAGTAATATAAACGAAAAAAAAAAGATAATATTTCTTGCTTAGATTACAAGATACTTATCTAGAACCAAGAAGTAAGGCAAAAGACTAACGAATGAATTACTGGAAAGCTCCAAGGTGTAAACCTTAAAAATTCATAAGGTTAAGCCAGATATGGGATGGGCTTTTATAGGAAATGACAGATGAACAGGCATATTGTAGGCGATGAACAAAGGTAAGTAAAATAGCAGAAGCAGCGCTCTGGGCTCAAGATACAGGGGCGTGCACAATATAGATCTTTTCTGGTTGGGGAGAGGGCTCCAAACTGAGAAGTGTAGCCAGCGGCAGCAGCCACTTCTCTCGCGCCCCAGGACACCTTGGAGCACTCAGAGACAAAGGGATCGTTTCGCCTATCCCTGCCAATGGGAGAACAAGTCAAGGAGACATTTAGGACATCGTTATACAGAGCCCACAACTGAGCCAAGTCGAGGTGTCCCTAATACAGTAAAACAGAATACCTATCTATTTAGCGTATGTCAGCAGCGGCGCCAACCAGTCTTTAGGAATACAGTTTTCGACGTTCAAATATATAGAGGTCATGAAAAAAATTGCTTTAGAAAAAATAACAGACAACGAGGATAAGAGCTCAGTTAGTGAAAAAAGAGTTGAGTAAAAAAAAATGGGTTACCCATTTTGTAGATGCGCCACTCAGACTTGTACTTCGGTGAGTCGTTCACTTATTTTATGCGACTACAACTAGTCCTAGACATGTCGATGTTATGTGAGCGCTAAGGCTGACTTTAAACTTTAAGGAGCGCAAGGCGATCTATGTTGAAGCTTCAACCCGAGTATTCTTATCGGAATTTCAAACAGCTAGTGCCTACGCGATAGTGCGCCTTTTAATAGCGCTCATCTTTAAAATTTGGGCGATGGTTGCTGCTCATGCTGCTTCATTACTAAGCTGTACCTTGGTGAAGCTGTGGAAGGTCTGAGTGCGAACATGAATGCGAAGGTACGGTTTTCTGTCAGCTTTCGATGGACCCGTATTCTTGAGAAATTCGTCCCGCTGCGTTTATCTGGTTTGTGCCCCGTGCCGAAACGTGTGCTGCCCAGCACACGACCCGCTAGTGACTCCCTACTAGCCCATCCGACTAAGAAAGGCCGACCAGCCTCCTATCCTGCCACGTCATGATTGCTTGTGGTCGTTATCGGCTAAACCAGATTCAAATTCGCGCGCGAGCAGTTACGCACCTTCACCCTCTGTATCTATTTTTTGCCCCATCTCCTGGCGGTGGCGGCAGCCTTAGCACGGCGCGGCTATACCCCTCTCCCCTTATTCCCCCGTCTGTCTGTCTGTCTGTCTCTCCTTCGGTACGTCCCGCCGCTCTCCCTGACAGCGCCTTCGAGTTTGGCATTTACCTCGAGTCCGCCCTCCCGCCTCCGATGCTAAGTGCAATATAGCCTTCTGCTGCTGATGCTGCTGCTATTGAATGACCGTGACGTTGCAGCCTTCTGCTGCAGTGGCATCGCTCCTGCGCCTCCCAACGACGCTGCCCGCTGTAGCGAGCGCGTCGCCGCCCGCAGTGCAAACCACACCGGCTATATCCTGACACGTTAGCAGCGATCGTCAGTGTCGCCGTACGTCGGGCTCGGGCCCGGACTAGCCGAGCGCTGAACCGGGCTCCTTAGACGGCGCCCGGAGAGAGCCACTGCATCATCAGATCGTCTTCAGACAGCCAACCAACAAAGACCATCGACAATCGGATGGACCAAGAAAAGCCGAACATCGAAACACTCGAGTTATTTCAGTGCCCTAGTCCATCAACTATCTATTAATCAACTAGCATTTATCTAATCATCTATGGTCTAGTGTTAGTTCTTCTACTCTAAGACGGGAGCCGCACGCCATTCTCTTGTGAAGTGCCATATCACGATTCCTTGGATCCGTACCTAGGTATATACCTAACCAGACAGCTGCAGTGCTAATAACAACAAACGAGCTCCTAAGTTATGCATACTGTTGTAGTAAGTTTTTACTAAAATTACGTATAATGCAAATGTAGTCCGAGAAGATTTGAGCAGCAGCACTGAGCAGGAAGAACGGTTACCAATGCAGAGCTAAAAATAACAGCCGTCAAATTACGTACGGGATGTCTCAGATGTGTGGTCGTATCCGACACTTCATGGTCGTCCGATGAGGACGGTCCAAGTGAATATCTCTGCGCGCGTTGTGACGCGACGGAAAGTCTGGGTGCGCTTGAAGTAAGCGATGACCAGTGATGAGAGAAGACACAGCATCAGTGCGCGGTGGCATTGGTCGCGCTTTATGTATTCATGCTAATTTTGCCGGTGAAACGTGTGGCGTGCAAGAACGCTCTGCGGAATGCCGTAGCTCTGGTGCTAATGGCAAACGATTCCAGCCGTCTCAATAGGGTGAAAGCGACATTATCAAGCGGCAATAGCAGCAGCGGGGGGAAGTGTCAGTATCAAGCCAGGTTGTGATTTTACCTAGTGCAGTTCGCTTGTGTCCCAAGTTAAGCAGAGGGGTGCGAGTGCGCGTGAGAATAATCAAAGTCAAATAGACAAATAAATCCAACGTAAACAACAAGTAGTTCGTTCGAGCAGCAGAAACAAGACAAGACGACGCAGACGACGACGACGACGACGACGACACCGACGACGACGACAACAACGACGACGACAACGACGACAACAACGATAACAACGACGACGACCACGACGACGACGACCACGACGACGACGACGACGACGACCACGACGACGACGACGACCACGACGACGACGACGACGACGAAGACGACGACGATGATGATGATGAGGATAAAACCGCAAAGAGCCATTGGACGAGAAGCGAAGCATGACGAAGCAGGATCAGACGCGCGTATTAAATACAGCGGGCAGGGAAAGCGGAACGAGCCCTACCCAGCACCAGGAATAGCATCGCAGGAAGTAGCTTTTTAAAGAGATATATAGCGTGCTTTCTAGCCGGGGTAAAAGAGCCCAAATTAACTTTGCGGTAATCGCGCCAGGTGAAGGTGATGGCGACTAAGTACTACTGCTAAGCTCAAGTACTCGTACGTAAACTATTGACGACCAAGAAAACGTGACTCTGACGTGACAATAACAACACGCAATCGAGAGCAGCAGCAGCAGTAAAAAAATCAGCCAATGCAGCAACAAACCTGGAGGAGGAAGAAGAAGAAGAAGAAATGATGTAATAAGTATTCCGCCAAGCTCTGCATCTAATGCAGTCACCGTTTGACCGGTGTCGTATAAATCGACCCCGTCAATCATAAGTAGCTGTAGTAGTCAACATGCCGGCAAAGGCTGTGTCGTCTACGCTTATGAAGCCGTTGGTGGTGTTAGCGCTACCGGGGATGTATCTCGTCTATAAAATTAACGAATTTAAACGGCATCAGCAGGAAGTTAACCGGAGGAAAGTCACCGAGCGCGAACTCGCCAACCTCAACAGCAAGATTGTATGTACCGCTTGTTATAATAATTATCCTCTATTATCTAAAAATCAGTATGTCCAAACAATAGAACGTGTATAGATATATAACATATCCGCTAGACTGCCTCTAGCTAAAGGTCAACCAAAAATTACTTTTCAGAGCAATGATCTGTATGTGTTCGTATCAATTAAAGGACCGGCTCTCGTACGAGCTGGACTCTCGTACTAGCGTTTACGAATAGAAGCTCAACGGTACAAAATCGTTTGCTACTTATCTGTATTTTTGATACCACGCATCCGTAGCAGTCGCAACAACCTTTTAATCATTCCGTTTGTGACGCCATGATGCTGATCTGTGTTATAGAAGTGCCAATTCCGACTGTTTAAAAAACATATTGGGAAACTCTTTTCACAAAGTGTCAATGTCAAGGACAACTATCGAAGACTGATAACATTGAGTCATTGGGAAGTAGCTAGCTCAAATAAATCATGTTAATGTAAAACAGATATGTGCAATCGTCGTATATGTGCGACTTGCCTTAATCGCTTGAGCTAGCCGTCAATAGCTTATTACTCGAATGGGTCATGCTCTAGCGTTGTTTGCTTATGCCCATTTATACATGTGGAAACTATCACACAGTAGTGATGCAGCTTATAAATCGCCGTTGCCGTCATATATTACCCAATAACTATTAAAATTGCCAAACTGGCTTTTTTCATACCTTTGCCTAAAGTGCGTTGCGTGACCCGTTTTGAAAGCTAGAATAGTTGAGTTTATGGAGATAGAATTAGATTCATAAACCCTATTCTCATTTCCACTTACTAGATGACCCGCGTGTCAAAAGTGTCTTCGTGTGAATGTGACATTTCAAAATCAGACTAGTCCCTAGTCTTAGGGTATCCCTAGAGTACGTCCATTTGATGTCGGAAAGGACTATCCGATCACAAAGTGTCATCCCGACAAGAGGGTCATGACGTGCGTGATCTTACGCGTCCACGCCCTGATATATGACAGTAGACGTCAACTGACGTCGCAGTAGCACGTCAGGCGTAATTTCCAACTCGTCGCTACTACTGCTAGCATGAGCCAAAAACCGTTGTTAACAGAATTAGCAGACCCCGTTGAGTTGTCGTTACCGCTATGGGCTGGTATGCTGCCAACGGTACACAACACCGTTGCATAGTTGCCCTATAACTAAACAATGACGGATTTAAACCTCTCCCAAACGATTTCTACGTAGACTGCGGCTGACGATAATCCATATTTTGAATGATGAATGTCAAGGGCATTCATGGACACCTTAAGGCTTATACACAAGCAGCATTTGATCTCCTAATTGGCGAGTCTAAAACGGCCAAAGCTGTGCTGAAATTGCTTAGCTGATGTCGAGCAAACGTATTCTTTAACTCAGTTACGCTGGTAGGTTTGCTATAACAATGATGTGAACACATCCATTTCGAATAAATAATTTAGACAGGACTCAGCCATAGGATCTGCGGTATATAATACTCAAACGATCTAATACCAAAGCCATCATCGGGATCTGATGGAGGTGTCCCTAAACAACATCCATGTCGCATGTGTAATGCAACATTAAAAGAGCATTTGATATTTTTCTTTCATTGAAAAACGTCTCATACCATTTCATGGAGAGCACGCAGACAGAGCTCCCCTCTGTGCAACATGTTAAGATACTGCACTTTGGTATGAGCCTACTCATACCATAAAAAATACATGATATTTTTCCATAGAGATTTAATTACAGTTGAACTGGTGATAAGGCGATAATACAAAACACATTAACCACGATAGCGTTCCTTATTAGTTTAGTCAGATATTATTTATACTATGGATATTGAGACAAAATTAACGTTTTCGAAATTAAGCCTATTTCTACCGAACATAAATAAATAGGGACACACAAAATACATCGGCGTTTATAACGACAAGACGCCGAAATCTTAAGCCTGACTAGGGATCTGCACCTGTGATCTATCTCATTTAACGGAGAGTGGCGTTCAACACGTCCACGTGTCATTTAACGATTTAGATATCGAAGGAGGCGAAAAAGATGCTTACTAGCTACTACTGTCGTCGTGCAGCCTTAGCAGTTATTTACTGCTACCTGGACCTGACTACCTGGACCTGACTACCTGGAGTTACTGTGCTCGTGGTTGTTCGAAATGAAAGCACTCGGATGATTTCTCGGAGGTAGACAAAGCCGTTCCTTACTGATTGCGCTACGCACGATGAATTTTCCGAAGGAAATTTGTAACTTCAACTGTGGTTCGCCCAGCGGTAGCCAATGGATGCCATCTACTAGCTTGTGGTTTGTTGCGTTGCTAGGGAAACTTGAACTTGACTGAGGTCTGCTAGCGGATCTAGCAGGTAGAGCGTGTGAGAAGCCGAGGCCGCCGTGGTTTGTACTCCAACGTGAGACTGCCTGCCAAGCAATGTCGACTCGAGCTGAAATCTCGTCATGGATATAAACGTGCGACCAGCAACGGCAGCCGACTGGAGCGAGAGGACGCTTTCTAGCCGCTGATGTACGCCAGTACGGAGGTGCTATCCGAAAGATAGTTGAGTCAGCAGACGTGCGGTTTAGGAATTTGTACGTAGATGCCCCTAACTATCCCGACACAGAAAACTTGATTCTGCCCAAACACAGCCCACGGAACAAAAGGTGTCATGCCATCTCTTAACTCTACACTGATATCATCCTGTTGCCACCGAGTGCAGCAAGAATATGTTCCACTCGGTGGCATATCCCCTAAGATGACTAGATCTCAAGATTCACTAGCAAAAGCACAGAAAGAATACAAAGATAGATCTAAGGTACTGAAATGGAACTTCGTTCGGCGATGGCGTTCTCAGGGCAAAAATAAGGAGGAGAGATCTACCCCTGGAGATCGTGATCTCGACAAGAACATCAAGCTCATCCTCGACAAGGCGGTACGCTATCTAAACCTCTAAAGCAGAACTGAAACCTTTTGAAATTTAGCGAAGGTGTGATGGCGATCCACAGCTCCTAACTGCACCATTAAATACAGCTTTTATTCCTATGTTGATGAATGGCTTTTATCTATTCTTTATTGCTTCCTTTCGTTATAACCTACTTATTCCGAACTGAAGGAGGAGACGAATGAGAAGAACAGTGACGGTGCACAGCAACCCCCCAACGTGTTAACCCGCTCTGCGTGACTGCCCCGTGTTCTTGTTCGCTTTTATTTCAGTAACAAACAGGCAACGCACTTTTCGGCGTCTAAACTCACCTGCTTCTCACCAAAGCAGAAAAGGCTTTAAGACCTCTTATCACACGCGCTATAAGTTTGACTGAAGGTCACCTGACGAGGCAACGTTCTCGCCACTAACGGCAATGGGCAATATTGGAAAAGTTCACCTTGTTCTTTTTCTTAGTGCTAATTTCTAACTGTAGAACATTGATCGTCCCGATGATTTACAGGACAAGCTGCTAAATAAACTGGATGAGCATGAACCAGAGCTCGCTGGCTCACAGGATGAAGAGGTAAAGTGTTGCTTAATTAAACTTACGACTTCTAAAATTTCTATAACTTCTGTACACAGAACATGATAGGATATAACTAACGGTATGAGCGCTAAACTTAGGAAATGGTTAGTAGACATTATGCTAATACCTTGACAGTGTCCTAAGAGCGGCATTTTGACAGAACAGCACGCGTAACGAAGTTTTTATCTGATCAAACCCAAAAGACGATATATGTATGGGATGAATCTTCTTCCGCCTCCTTCTGCGACGCTGTGTATCGTCCACCCTCCTTATTTATCCTTCCGTAGGTTAAGATATATCATTTCCTATGTGACCTTCAGTTGTACAGTGAACGGAGCATATGCGGTGGTGTTATCACTCTCGCCTGTGCTATTATTGCTGCTATTGTATGAGCTAGAAAAATCGAATACGAACAGATGTTAGCGATTTTTGGCGTTTCGGGCAGAGATGAGGGCCGCAGCTTTTGCGGGGGGGGGGGGGGTGAGAAGGGGGTACAAGCGAAGCATACCCAACTGTTCTTACTGATTCAGTCGATACAGGTGGCCGCTTGTATTAAACGAACGTCGAACAAGCCAATATTTCGCCACAAGTGAAAATCTTTTTGATAAAAAAGATTCAATCTCGTAAAAATTGCTAGTTAGAGTTGTGCTCATGGCGGAGCACTTAAACGACATTGACATTGCAGAACCGGTAGGATCGTATGCGTAGTCATGATGTGATTTACGTATCATTAAGTTAAGTTTACTTTTGTTGCGCTAAAGGAGGCAGATTGTTAAGACCTTTACGATAGTTAAGCAGTAAAACGAACGGTAGACTAGTAGTATGTTACAATTGGAAAAAAGGCGCACCCTACGAAACTGTTTAGTTCCTTCGCTCGGGCCACCTCTGTCGTCTTTCCTTTCCGGCAAACACTACCTCGAATGCTGGCGAATTCTACTAAAGGTGTCGAGGTGCAGTTCAGGTATAGGACTATTTCCGTCAACGCCATATCAGACTCGGCGCTCGTAGACGACTCTACGAGCAAATCGGTGTACTTTTTCATGTATCAGGCTATCTTCAAAATAACATAACAATTTGGGAAAGACGCTACAAATGGTTGTGGAATGATGAACGGTAACTGACGATGATTGATCTATTTGTCGTTGAAGTAACAAGCAATCAGCATCTCTACTAGGGGAACAGTTTAGGTATAAGTCATGTGCATAGAAATGTACTAATTACAGTCCCGTAAAGATATGTTAAAAATATTCCGATGGAACAAATTATCCAGCCAACAGTTATGTTAATAGTAAGTATCTTTCAAGTAGAGCACAATGAAAGCTTGTGAGTGCACTCTAAAATCAACCTTACGGCGTATGTGTTTTGAATTTTCGATAAAACTAGCGGCGACTTTTGAAAGAAAGGCAGACTAGTCGCTCCATGCTGTTGCTCGTGCGCCCAACCATTTTATTATGGAGCAAAGCACATGTGTTTAGAACACTGCATATCATTCACCACTATGATTGTTATTACTTTTTCTCCTCCACAACACTATATGAGCTTAAGAATGAGAAAAACAAACCTTGATTTCCATTATTTCGCTAAGCCTATCCCACCCATTCTGCCAGCGCCTACTTCTGTCATTCTACATTCTGTCAACAAACACGAAACTCAGTTTTAGCACTTCGAATGTCTTCAGAGGTCTGTCTTTGTACGTTCGAATAATTTCAACAGTAAAAAGGATACTAAAAGCAAAAATAACGTTTCGCAGTAATGGCCATTGGGAAGCTATGAATCCTGAAAAATGATCGGTATATGTTTCTATGTACATAATCGAATAATAACTATATCAGACCATTTATTTTTTGAAGACGCTTTGTCCGGTGATCAATTATGGCATATTATTTACATGCGTTTGTTTATTTATAGTGTGTCATTTGTGTGGGGGCCAAGGCGACGATGCAGACGTTTCCTTGTGGACACCGCGTCGTGTGTCGCAAATGCTTTGTAAAGACGATACAGATGGCTGTATCGCAGCGAATGCTGCCCCTCCGCTGTGTCATCTGTAGGACGAAGATCATCCGACTCAAGCAGACGACTGGTGGGTTTGCTACACCTGCCAGCCACACCCCGCATCTGGCAAATACCCGTGCTTGCCTCTTGCGTCAGCCGGGCGCTATCGACCCGGAAGGTTTCGGGCGCTCTCCTTTTCTCACTCCGGAGGATTACGAAAAGCCGCAACCGGCCAAGCAGTACGTATACCAAACTGGCAACATATTATTTATTTGTAATTTATCTCTGGAAATTGAGAACACTAATCGGTTTTTCTCTATGTTGTGTATTTAATGAGAAAAGATCTCAGCAACACAATGCTTCAGTCCTATTTGGATTGATGTCTTGGTTCATGTCAAAGTGTTCTAGCTACGCGTCCTATTAGATACTGGTTTATTAGGCATTGGCCACATAAAATATAGTTCTCTTTGATTTACTATAATAAGAGCGACAATTAAAACCGTTTGAAGATAGCCTTAACAGACGTGTTCCGTTATAGGCGGTCTTGCCGTGTCATATCGTCTAAAACAGGCACTTCCAATTTGTAAGTCTAACCACATGGCCTGGGGCTGCACTGATATTTCAGGTATACAAGACAGGAGTGCCGTTTTCATCGACACTGGAAAAATAAGGTGGCGGCCGCGCCATTGTCACAGGACGTTACTGACATGCTCATCGTGTCCGAGGCCGGAAAGGCCTCTAGGACCTCTCCGCTCAAAGAGGACCGACGCAAAAAACTCAGCCTGAAAGGTATTTATAGCATCAACAGAACTGTTGTGCGTTTACAGTGTGAGCTGTTCTCACCGGAGGCTTGCACATAGATCAACTACATACTAAAGCATTACCTATTCTCAATAGCTATAGTTATTATGGTACCATATGAACAGTTCTCCTGATACAATACCGACAATATCATTTTCCAGCAGACTTACCTCTTCTTGCGACACCGCCCCGCAAGAAGGAACTTAAACGGTCTCAGCCTTTATCGCCGACGATTATTGTGGACAACTCTCGAATAGTGCATGACCATAACAATATGTCGCAGTCGGTGCTCAAGGAGTGTAAGGATACCTCAAACAAAGACAAGAGATTGGTCAGACTCGAAGGCGTTGCCAAAGACCGACGGAAAATTCACGCTGTTGTGGAGAAAGAGCTCGAAATGATTCCACTTGTTCGTCTTGATAAACCACCCTCGCCGGTAAATTAAAGCTGGAATGTCTTTCTACTCATGCAGGTTTACCCCCTTTGTTAGCACCTGATAATTTCGCATATGACTATAAATTGGGATAAAATGGAGAGTAAAATTGTTTTTAATTATACTATTATTAGTTTTCTATTATCTATTTTACTCGCTCAGCGCAAACGGCGCGGCTCCAGATCGAGTATGGGTAGTACAGGAAGCACTATCAGCAGCAGCAGTAGCAACAACTCTAATTCGGTGTCCACTCCTGAGATTTGTGTGACACCCCCGGGGGAGGAGGAGGAAGAAGGGGAGGCCCATCTCATTATAACAACGCAACCAATCAAAAAGCTTGAGTACCGCACGGAGAGGTATTCGTTGCCCAGCATTCCACCTCCCAAGTTGACCCTTGTGGATCCACAGAAAGGCGACCGTCAACTCAGCATCTTGGATAACGCAATTGACGAGGAAGACGAACTCCTGTTGGCCTTGGACGACGAGGGATTGACAGAAAAAGGCAATCTGGTCGAAAACACCCACCACGAAACTGTACAAAAAGGTAATTAGGTTCGAAATTCTTAAAACTGACTGGTTGATATTGTAACGCTTTTCCCGTAACGAGTGAAAAAGCGCATAAATCCTTGGTCTACAAACACATTATAGGCGCTAACCTTTAACAATGACGACCGCTAAAAGTACCATATCACATAGCGTGTCTATAATGTTCCGGAAAAGTCTATAGGCTTTAGTCAGATATGAATGTGGGCTCTCTGAAGATGGGGTAATGAAGCATATTAACGTAATTACGGGACTGGATGGCCAGCCGTGATCTGAGGAAATGAGAGGGCTATTTCACGCAAGTATATGAGGTATGGTGGGATGTACCGCAATGGGAATAAATAAACGAAAACAAAATTAGGCCTATTAGAATAATGGTGATAATAAATCTGACTGTTATTATCACGGTAGCGAAGATCACATCGACTGGTTTGTTGGTTTGATCGTTTATAGTGGAGGTCACCTCTCCGACAGAAATACGCATCGCGCCGCCGCCTGACTTCCGACGAAGATCTCATAGAGTGGCGCCCGAAGCTCGTCTTCAAAAACAATATCCGCCAACAACGCGTTTCGAAAAATTTAAGTAAGTCCCTCACTTTCGTTAAAAAGGCAAAGAAAAAGACAGAGATATGTAATCCAACGAGAAAATTTGTTGTTTACCAAGCATATTTCACGCCACATACGTTGCAGGGAAACATTTTTTTCGAATAAACTTCAATTTAATTTAATAATTAATGATGCAATATACCAACTAAGCAACAGTTAACGAAGAGGATTCTTCTGTACATATTGTTATTAGAAACTTTCACGTCCGGCAGCCCTTGCCGTTGTTTCCAATTCCGGAACGTGAAGAGATCCAGGAAGGCATCGAGCTGCGTGGTCGTTCAGCCGAAACTCAAGTGATTACACAGGCGTTCTACAAGGTCGACGACAAAATGGCCGTCTCCCAAAGCATTCCCTTGATTTCTGCTGACAATATGGTGACCGTTGGTGGGTCTTTCCTCAACTCAGCCGCACGTACAAAAATGGCACTTCTAAGCAGTTTTAAACAGTTGAGATCGAAGTCTCCTCTTAAAGCGTTTGGGGTCCGTTCAGGGAAGACCGTGGTGGTGCCATTGCTCGACGTGGCGGGGTCTGCCCACAACATGTAAACAAATCACCATACAATTAAGGCAAGTTCCAATTACCAACATTAGTTTTCACCTGGAATATAATAGTGGTTGAAAATTTCTACAGGAGCTTGGGCAGTTGTATCATTTTTCGAGCAATACCTGAGTCAGTATCTCAGTAGAATTAAACGTTTACATTCAATTGTGCTACGCGGCTGTCAGCAAATCGAATTTAGAGTGGGTCGGTTTCGTTCATTGGTAAATACTTGACCTTTCGTACCTAATCTATTTCTCAACTGTTAATTTCTAAACATTTTTTTTTTTATCTCACTGCTTATACAATGTGTCTTTAGGAATTTAATTAGGTATGTGGCAGATACTGTTTTATTTCTTTACCTCATCACCTATTGTGGTCAAAAATTGATCTTAGAACAGATAACGATATGGGTTGTAGAATTGAGTTTGTGTAACTGATTGGTCTGGATTATATTTAGGCAAGGACAAGCCGCAATATAGTTGCTCTGTCACAGCGCGATATGAGCAGAAGGTACGGAGCTCCTCGAAGTTGCGTGCGCGGCAAAGGCCTGCGTTGTGCAAGAAGTGGCAGTCAGGACTTTGTTGCGAAAATAGGACAAAGCTATTTCTACGCCGTTTCTGATGATTTTCGCTAGGCGCCGCGTATTCCGAACAATATTGCGGCATCCATTATGGCACTACGGCACCCACGTAAACGAAATCCTAACGTCTCCCAGTAATTGCATAGTGGTAGATGTGCGTGCACGAAGTCCAGCTGGAGTGATTCGACGGGAGGACGTTTTGATGGTTTTTCTCACAGCAGCGATCGTGGAAGTTTTTCATCCAAAATAAGCCAGACGAGCACTCCGTATCAACATCAAGAGAGTATATATATATATATATATATATATATATATATATATATGCAAATTAAACGCCTGATGTAATATAAGTTGCCGAAAAATCATTGACTGTTTTTTGGGTTTGGCTTTGAAGTGCCATGCCTCAGATATTATAGACTGCGTCGAATTAACGTTGACGTCATGTATAAGCTGAGATTTGCTGGAAATTAATGTGCTACGCTAGAATTCCTTTATTAGTACATTGAAGGTGGGCGAAACTGCTGCAAAAATCCGCTATATTATTTTGTATTGTTTCGATAAAGGCACAAACGCTACTTAGGCCTACAAAACATCTGCACTTTTCAAGGTTCAGATACGTTCTAGGGTGCGCTTTCGTTCAGAGAATGTCAGAGTTAATGTCAGAGACGCTTCTGGCAGTGATCGGGCAATTATAGAAATAGTTAATAAAATCATCGCGAAAGTCAAGCGAGGTCTATGTGTGATTACCCGTAATATCACCTAAAAACCCAAACATTTACCACCAAACAGCTTCAAATGGTATGAGAAACGTTGGCTGGGATAAAAGAAACTCGTTTTTTTTTCGCTGGTGCAAAAAGGGGTTATTCGTACTCTCATCTTGAACATCGTATAGGAACGCACCGAAATCGAACCACTTCCAAAGCGGTTGATGGCGGGTGATAAAAAGTGGACTACATACAACGATAATGAGCAAAAACGATTGATCAAACTTCTATTGTTGCAATGGAAAGCAATCGACCAGAACACAGTTGGTTAGCAGAAAAGGCGTCATCTTTTAGCACGACAATTCCAGACGATGTGTATCTTTAGATAGCCGGCAGAAATTGAGAGAACTTGTACAAGAAATTTTAATGCATCCATTATAGGGGTTGGGCCTTGCATCATCAGACTATCGACTGCTTCAATCTCTGCAAAATTTCCATAATAGGATTAACTTAGTTTCCATGGAAGAATACAAAAGTCAAATTCTCTCTCTCTCTCTCTCTCTCTCTCTCTCTCTATATATATATATATATATATATACATACACATAAAAGT